CAGTGGAAAATCTTCCAGGGAAACCTACTACCTAGAGTGACTCTAGAAACCACATCACCTTCAGGCAACAGATGTAAAGGGGATTCATGTTGTTTAAATAATATTCTATTATCTAAGTGCACTCATTACATGTAATTAGTGCACTTATTATGGATGTACAGAATACATTCCTGTTACAGATAATATTGCAATTCCTGCATTTTAAGATTCATTTTAACATCAAATGGTCTGGCTGACTGGAACAACTCTCCTCTTCCTTGGCATACACAAAGCACCACAGAGTACTTTAGACATGCACACTTGTGGACAGTTTTGAACATGCTGCAGGCTCTCATTATATAACAAAGTCCCTTTGATGTATCTGTTTATTGCCTGGAAAACAGTGTGAGACTTACAAGGTCCACAGGGAGCTTTGGGTTAATTAAGTCTATCACTTTCCGATGGGTCCTGGTATGACCAGTGACCGAGGCAGCCAGTTAACACTGACTTGATGGGAACTCTTCACTGTTCTTCCAGCTTCTCACTATTACGTCCTCAAAAAACAGCTGTTTCTAGTGGGGTCAATAAACAAGTTTGGAAGAATTTCTAGCAGCTAAATAAAACACATACTTTACATGGACAGCAGCATGTTTCCAGATAAATCTGTTATGTATTAATCCTTGTTAAAGAGATAAGCTAGGCCTTAATGCATCCTTTCCTGCTACAAAACTCTACAAACAGGTAAAAAGCTTTGTGATGTGGCCAACCCCGTCTCTTTATCTGTGGCTCTGTATTGCCTCACTGCAGTAACGGGCAATGGAAGGAGCAAGTGAGAGACACGGATATCCTTTAGAGCCCTCCAGGTGTTCAGTGCCTGATAACACTCACTTTACTGGGGTTCTTGCACTCTGCCTTCTCCTCTAGGGCTCTTTGAAGAGAGGTGATGACTGCACCCAGGGTTCAAAGTTCCCTTGCTTGTTGAAGGAGGGAACGGAAAGAGGCTCAAGGATCTTAGAACACAGAAATGCCCTCGGGTTTGCACCATTTATGGTGATAACAGGGAGAAGCCATGCATGCTCCCATCAGGAGCACCATCCTAGTGACAAGACTGCAAGGAACCTGTGCAGGCTGGAACTTGCTGAATTTCCCATCCTTTAAGCTGGATTTTCCCATTTGATCAATTCCCAGTGTGGTACACTCTTGGAACTGCCTGGAGGAACAAAAATATAATGTACTGGACTGGAATGCAAACCCGGCAAAGGCAAGGGTGAGGTGCAGCAACAACCAACAAGTATTGAGCTGCATTGCTCAGGGCAGCATCAGAAAAAAATAAGGTAGAAGTGGAAAAGGGAGTGGAATTTATTATCTGTGTTCAGCTATGTCTACCCAGAGTGAGCATGGCAGCGTAAAATGTGTCTTGTCTGAACACAGCCTCTGCTATGGTTGGTCAAAGGCAGGTGAGGTGATATCAGGTGGTAGGTACCCATTGGCCCCCTCGGGGGAAGGGGAGGGTGGGGAACTCCTGGAAGCAGGAAGGCTGAGTCACTCAGCTCTGTTCTCCTTCAAGCAGTCAAGCAACATATGAGATTAGATAAGTAATCTGTACTGTTGCCAAAGTGGTAAATGAATAAAGGAGCTTGCAAAAGGAACGGAAACCCATTCAAATGGAATTGTGTGAAAGGGAGTAGAAAATGCACCACAGAAAATAGTAAAGAATAAAAACTTTAAAGGAGCTGAAATTTTACAGATCTTTAACTGCTGCATTGCCAGAGCTATTATGTGGGAATTAACAATGTTTTCCCTTTTCTTAGTGAATACAAAGAAATGTCTAACATTTTTTAGATAACATCATCATATGTAAGAGATAACTTTTGCAACACTCTTAAATTCCAAATTTATCTCTTCCCTTTTTGAAACAAATTTTTGACTCTCCTAAGTTTGATGAGGGATTAAGAATTTGTGGGAGTATGTGAGGGTTGGGTCCACCTAAAAAGATCATCCATCATCTAAAACATTTTTCAAATGTACAAGTATTCCATATTGCAAGAGAAGAAAAACTCCCTAAAGCTTCACCTCTGAAGATAGAATGAGTTTCCTATCTTCAAAAGGTTTATCCTTCTTTCCAAGTAAATATTCATTTTATAATACCTAGGGTTGTATGGAGAAATAAACTATTTTACCAAGAAAGTAAGCTAATTTTTCCTAAAGATACTCCAAATAATTTTAAAATACCTAGAAGTTAGCTGGGTGTTTTCAGGAACACACATACAGTTCTTATTCAGAATGGTCTAATGAAGCACAGGAGAAGGGAACCAGTGGAACTCTGAAGACCTCTGTTTGGTTGCTCATTCAGCCACTGATTTGATTCCCATGGCTGTCAAGGTCATCCAGCCTTTCTATACCTTGTTTCCCCAGGTGTAAAACGGGGACAATTTTTCCATAACTCAGGTTAAAACTAAGAAAGCTGAGTTTTTTTATGCTTTCAACATGGTAGGATGGAGGACTTGGGCTATGCAGGACAGAATTTAAACTCATTCATTGTTTTCCTTCACTGCCCTGCTATAGAAGATGTTAGAAAAGTCACTACCACCAAGTTCTTCAAACATGAAGTTCTGACACAATGACAACTGGTTGCACCTGGAACAAAGAGTCAGAGAATAGAGCTCAGCTGTGAACTTTTTCATAATGAGCACAAGTTCTAAGATGAACAATGCCAGGAAACATTTTATTGATGCTAAGCAGCTTGACTTCAGAAGAACCAACACTATACTGGCTTTAGTGACTCTGTAAATGCCCCAAATAAAGTGACTCATATGTGATTGCTGTCAAGGGGTTGCTTTGTGGATGCTGGCTGAAACACAAGGCTTGATAAGTGCAATGAGACCTTAGATGCACTTAGCCAGAGACTTGTGGTCAGTGCAATTATGGAAGAGGCTGTTAATGAAGTTAGACTCCAGATGTATTTGCCTCAGACCCTGCTGTTTTGAAATACACTCTTCTGAAGAACAGTCAAAACTACATACCCCTGAAAGTTAAAAATCCCATGCTTTGGCTGAGACAGTTTTGAGATTTCACTCTCACATTAGCCCACCTTCCAAGAAAAAAGGCTGCACAGATATCTCCTTTTTCTCCTGATGCTCCACACTGTCCTTGCACAACTGCTTGCATCACAGGTGAAATGCACACGTGAACTGCTGAGAACGAGCATGTTTTCCTCCTGCAAAAAGCCACACGTGAAGATAAAAGTCAGCCCTGAAAGAAAACAAGAAGATGAGGCAGAAGAAATATAATGCATCCTTGGAGAGGAACGTGCCACTCCAGCACGTGGGTCCAGGTGCTGAGAGTCCTGCACACGGAGATGTAACTCACAGCTCTGGAATACTGGGCTGGAATTTGCTCTGGAATATGTCACTGGCTCAATGTGCCTGGCTGGCAGCCAGCCACAGAGAGAGCAGTGCCTTCTGGCAGCTCAGAGCAAGACATATCCAGAGTCCTCACCATAGTACTCCTGAGGGTAACAGCAGCTGAGGGCAGATAGGATTGGACATTTTCCAAAACATCTAGAGCGAGTGAGCCTCTTAAGCCAGGCCTGCCCAGTGCTCTGATTGCGATCTGGAACTATTAGAGAGGTGTCTGTATACTGGAGTAGATATTAATAATTAATGACTGCAGTGTATGATTGCTTGGGCCCAATAAGGCTCCTAATCCTTTCTCTGCATTTTTGGCGTTCTTATCTCAACCATCTCCTAATGTGAAGTGGTGTGGGCCAACACACAACGTGTCCAGCAGCTGGAACTCACCCGCACTTTCACTATTCATGTATCTACCTTAATAATAAGGAGCTGATAGTTGGTTTTCCACCCTGCTGGCATGGCTGTCTTCCAGCCTCCACAGAAGTTAGTGCTGATGCCCCTTTTAGTGGAATTTTGCTTTACTGTGAGCACCAGCCCAGCAGAATTTATCCTGCACAGCCTGGTAATAGCCAGTGTTTCCACAGGGCATACAGAGGCTGGAACTTCAGTGAGAGGAACCTGCTTCTTTTTTTGCCATTTGTACTTGGTAAAATACATCTGAATCCTTCTCAGTTTACCTGACTAATAGCAGCATCCCACATCCTATCTTAAAAATATTCTAGCAATGAGATAATTACAGAAGGAAACAGGTTATATTTTCTCAATAAATCGAAGTGTTAGTTTAATTTGCTAGAAATGTTCAGGGAAATTGTTTTTCATGAAAGTTCAAGTTTCTCCACATGGACCACTGTAGCAGAAGACCATCCTTTTGTGCTCAGATCCACAAGAAAATTGTAAGTTGCATTTAACATTTTTCCAGCTGGAGTTTCGAAAATTAGCAAAGATCAGTTGTCATCATTTAGCTTTACATTTTCTAAAATCTCTATTCTTGTGGAGTTTTGGGTGGCTTTTTTTGTTGTGTTTTTGTTTGTTTGTTTTAATACAAATGAAGTTTAATGAATAGAAAATCATTTATTAGCATTGTCCATACATAAAGATAACAGAATATGGAATTCCAAGACATCATACAGGCAGTATTGAGCACAAGAGTTTTAGCTGTTTGGATAAAGGGTTCAGTCCTGGGCCTATGTACAGACTTATAATGTATAAGTCATTCTATCCCTGTGTCTCTCTTTACCTGATAAAAATTTAGTATATTGTGCTTCAGACTATAGAACAAAACAGAGAACTGACGTTTTCAGTGTTTTTTGGCATCCTTTGATGAGGTTGGAAAACTGAAGCTTTGCACACTTACAGAAAAATCTGAAAACCTTGTTGCCCTTCAGTATTTAATGGTGAAAATGTAATGATAATGTAGTTCCCTATCAAAAGCTGAAGTCTATAAAACTGCAAAAGCTTTTTCTACATTGCTTTATAAGCAACACTTCACAGATAGGTACTGTGAAACATCATTCTTTGACAAAGACTTAGCAATTTCAGAGCAATGTAGTTAAACACAGACAGAGAGATATAATATGTTTAATGTGTTTTGAAGTTTATTTTTCTTAACAATTTTTAGGTCAAAAGCATTGTACATAACCAAGAAGTGCATAGCACTGAATTCACCACTTTGGCTAGCACAGCTCAAAGGGGGCCAAGGAGACAACTCACACACTTCTGTATAGAGTACATAACATCCACTGGTGATACTTGTGTAGCAATCTATGGGCAAATGAAATTTATAACATCTTCATTTCTGTTAAGTGTAGTCTGTTGTGCATATACAAAATCAGAAAAATATATTCCTTTTTTCTTATATACACTATATAACATAAGAATAAAACCTGTAATAGTTTGCAGTAACTTAGGTGAAACTGGACTTTCACGATACAGAGCTTTAGAAACACCTCCTCAGCATCGTTTGTCTTGGACCATTGTGATAAAGAAGTTGCAGAAAGAAAGCAAACTTTCTGGACAGTATTCCTCAGCCACTTTTTTCTGGTCAATGTAATCTACATCTTCAACACAGTCCTGAGGACTCTGTTCTAGTGATTTTTCAGACACAGAGGCAGCTGCTGGAGACAGAACAACTTCTTGTGCGTGATGCTTTGTGTTCCCTGTGTCAGGACCCACTGCTGTTAGTAGGCTTGAGTGGGTCAACCTGAGGTGAGCACTTTGTGGGCCTTTCCGGCACACTTTAGATTTTAGTACGCTTTTGGGGTCTTGACAGATCTGCCTCTGCTTCTTTAGGGATCGGGAGACCTGTTTCCAGTAGGATTTCTGGTTTGCTGCATACTGTGCACAGCTGGAAGGGTCTCCAGAGAATTCACACCAGAATGTGCTGTCACCCTGCTTGCACTCTACATGCACAGTAGCAGCACTCATGTCTGTCACTGCCCAGGTGCACTCAGCATTTTCTTTGGTTTCAAACTTGCCTCTAGCAGACGATTTTCCTCCTTTTGATTTCCGCCCTTTTTCAATTCCTTGGGTAGATTCAGTTGGGGTTTTTCCACCACCTTTTAAACCTTGTCTTCCCTTTTTTCTTTCCTTCTGTCTTTCACAATTGGCTAGCAGCATCTGGGAGACCAGCATCAACACACAAAGGAGTCCAAAGCTCTTGATCCTCATGGTCTATGTTTTGCTGTTATCTGCCTTCAAAACAAACAAACAAACAAAAACATAAAAATATTTTCACTCCATTTGACAACTCACGTTTTTCAGACATGGCATTGCACTACTCTTTGGTACCTATTAAATAGATGTGATTGGCAAAATGATCTGTCCTTTGTGTAAATAATACCTGGGTTCTAGAACCACTATGAATTATCCTTGTAAATGGCTGTGGAGTAACTTCCAGTTACTTAATTATCTATATACTGGGAAAGAGAAGAGTCACTGCCAGGACATGCTACTGCCCAGTAACTGATGTACCTTAATTAAAATCTCTTCTGTAGTCAGCAAAGGAATATGAACTGGGATTTGTCAATCTCAGATATCTTGTTATAACAATAAAGTTGTTTCCACAATCTCCCATTTTGTAAAATGTCCCATAAGCGATTTTGACCTCCAGCTATTCTTAAAATATATGCCAGACAGAAAGGAAACCATTTGGTTCAAATTGTGGAAAACTATTTTGTAGGTATCCTGAAAATCATTGTAATTCACTGGTTATGACAGTATTTCAGTTTTCTGTTGAAATAAATTATGGTAGTCTTCCCAGACATCAAAAAATAACTATTGATGCATTCTTTACCACTTTGACTGCTAAACAAACAGAACTACCTTTTTGCAGAACTACCTGTAGTGTATTGGACTGTGTCTAAAGCTACCAAATTCAAGGGACAAATATGCAGCTTCAGTTTTGAAATGTAGCTAGTAAGCAACTTATTGTCAAGCTGATTTCTGCATGTGCACAGAGCATATTTATTTCCATAGGTGTTTCTTTTTTATGAAGCAGCTTTCAGGATCAGAGCAGGTTTTAAATCTGATATTTAGATGATTAAATCCCTAAATGTATTTTTAAGGTGTTTCCACTGTAGTAATTTCTTTAGCCAAGTTTTCATGTTGGAAAGCAGAAATTCATGTGCAGCCACACTAATAAGGAACCTGTTTCAACATTCAGTTATCTGCAAATATCTTTGCTTGCAGTTAGAATGCAGAACACACAGGTTGCAGCATACGTGAGCAGGTCCTACTTTCACATATTTTTGACTTGACTTGCTTCAAGCCTTATACTGTACACAAATTTTCACTCCATAAAACCCTCTTTAGAGGACCTCATGTAGTATTAACAGTTCTGTTGCAAATACAGCAACTAATAACACTAAAATGAATCAAGATTTGGCAGTAATATCCTGTTGCAAGTGGAACAGTGCAAAGAGTAAGATAACTAAGAGACATACCTTGCACGGGACTTGAAGATTCCTAAACGCAGTCCTGATGCAACTCGCCTGTTTCAAAAGAGCTGGAGCTCGCCGTAAAAGCAGCGCGGTTTTTATAAAGGCAGAGACACACCTTCAAGTCTCCAGTACAACTATTACAACACAATAGGCTACTTCAGTGCCATGTTCACTTACCTCTGACACACCTCCTTGGAAAAGGGCCAGTTCTCATTCTTAGCACAAGAAAAAAAAGCCTGGCTATGGTGGGTGACAAGGTGTGCTTGTGTAATTTAGGTGTTACTTTAGTCAAGTCCTTCCCTCCTCATGAGCAGTGATAAGAACTCTATCAGGTCATGAGCTTCTCTGAAAGAGCTTTTACCAGCTATTGAGGGATGTTTCCTGCAACACCCTCAGCAAGTTGCACTACTGTTTTGTTTAGCAGAATTTGACAATGATAGTGAGAACCCAAAGTAACTACTCAAATAGTAAGTAATAGGAGTCCAGAGCAGGCCACTAAGTCTAGGACTGGAGTGCCTCACCAGGTTGAGGCAGGCCATTCAGCCTGGAGAAGAGAAGATTTCCAATACCTAAATGGGGATCACAGGAGAGCCAGAGAGGGCCTTTGTACAAGGACATGTAATGATAGGACATGGGGGGGATAGCTTTAAACTGAAAGAGTGTAAGGCTGGATGAGATGTAAGACATTTCTTTTTATGACAAGGTTGGCAAGACACTGGGAGAGGCTGCCCTGAGAGGTTGTGGGCTTCCCATCCACAGAAGTGTTCAAGACCAGGCTGAACAGGGCTCTGAGCAACCTGGTATAGTGGAAGGCTATCTGTCCATGGCAAGGGGATTGGAGCTAGGTGATATTTAAGGTCCCTTCCAACCCAAACCATTTTAGGATTCTATGATTCTGCATTTAGGACAGTGAGATGTTAATTTATGGTGAGGTGGTCAAAAGCATGAAGCTCAGAAACAAATTCAAACTCCTGCAGAATTAGTGACTGAGAGGTCTAAGAGCTGAGTTCAGCTGCACAGCACTGATCTGCATTCCCCCCTCTCTGCCAGCTTTTGTGTATGTAAGAAGTGTGTTACATCATGAGATTTCATTATGGGACCACATCTAATGCATATTAACCTGAAAAAGAAGATGAGAATGAAACAACAAGCATTAGACATATAGAAACACATTCAGAGCTGGGAATGGGCATCCCTCAAAGAATGGATAGAGCAGCTGGTAGCTTTGTAGCTTGGTTGCTTCAGGTGGATTTGCTGAAAAAAACGTGAGGCATTTGTTATATAAGCTTTGGAAATACAAGAATTAAAGAGGGATGCAAGAACAGAGAAAAGTAGAAATTGTATGTAAGATATAGGCAGATGTCACCTTTGGCTCTTTCCTATCTGATATAAATGGAATGAGACAAAGGCACAAAGCTGTAGACACAAACTGGACTGGTTTGGTGACAAGGAGTTTGTTAATTTTCTGTTAAAAAAAATTCAAAACCAACCAACCAAACAAAAAACCAACCAAAAAACCCCCAGAAGCTAAAAAAAAGGAAGAACAGTGCAATTAGTCAATGACTGTAGGACAGAAATGTGCATTTATTTGAAATGTGAATGGTCTGATCTGTGTATCAGGACTTCTCCTAATCTATGTATGTGCAGCTATATTTGACACTTTTTGATGGAGTTCAGCTACCAGATATTCCTTGTGCACCATTGGTTGGCAGGAGTTACTATGAAACTGTTTGCAAAAGTCTGCTAAACGCAACAGATTTGTGGTTAACACTGGCAAGAGCTAATGAATGGGGGCAAGGACAACTTGATCAGAAAACGTTTAACAGCGTGTCAGGTTGGAAGGGAATCAGAGAACTAGAGCAATATAAGAGATAAGTAAGGTACTATCTTGCTCAGGAATACTGAACTAACATTGCATAGTATACACAGTACCATCCTGAAGTATTTGGTGTTTAGCAGGGATCCTCAAAACTGTGCAGCTGCCTTAGTGTGGCTTTGTCCTATAGCTAACGAGTCTCTCAGCAGGGCTAATTACTCTGGGGACACCATAAAGCCAAAGGGCTATGCTAACCTCAGTTCTGGTACTAATTTAGGTATGGTTTTATGGTGCCTGATTGCCTGTGTAAACATGCTGTAAAATTGATTTTTGTGTGACAGATTAGGGTATTGGTTCAGCTGTAGGAGTCTGAGCAACCTGATCTCAGGGCCAAAGCCAAAAACCTAACAAAGCACAACACACACCTTCCTACTGCAGCTGAACAGTGTCTCCAAACAGGTAAGAGAAAAACATTAAAGTATACAAGGAACCATGGGAAATGGGACCAAACAAAAAATTTGCATCCAAAACTGCCTATTTTGACAGTTTTGATGAGCAAAATAAGTTTTAATGTCAGTCTCAGTTCAGCTGCCCCATTGTTGACAGGACATATCCTAGTCTTCTTACTTCACAAAAATGGGGGAGGACAGGGAGAGAAAAGTGAAAATCTGCTTTCTGCTGCATTGGTACTTCTTCCCTGACATTGTGGCAAACTGGACAAATGTTGGCTCTTCCTGTCTTTAGCATGCAGAAACTCCTGTAGGGAGTTCTGCAGTCAAGTGTTTGTTGATATGAGCATGTACGTCTTTGAGATGATCTATCTTGAGCCAGCTGGAATCCTTGCCTAACCTGCTTAGATGATTTCAAAAACTCAGTTAATTAAGATTTACATATTTAGGTGTATAAAATACAGTCTCAGTCTCTGGAGGTTGATCTGGATGTCGGAAATTTTACTGCTATGCCCCCAGAATATATTTTTGTTTTCTTTTGTTTTCATTAGACATGAACTGATGTTTTGTGGATGTCACCTACCTGGGCATATAGTGCACTTTGTACTCCAAAAATCCTGCTGGGAATCGTCCTATTAGTTGATCAGAACAGTCACCTTCTTCAAATGTCATCCTGGAAAGAAAGTACACAAATTAAAGTAGGAGCTCCATTTCTTAGGTACTTAATTAGCATCTAATTGCCAACAAAAAATTGCTGCAAAAGCCTGTTTGTAATATCATTTCCAAGAATGTATTTTTTTCCTTCTGTCATGCACATTTTAAAATTCACTTTAGTTATGCATTTTGCTGGGCTGAAATTCTGTTTGCCTGTAAACTGCAGGCATGGTTTTGCCACAATAAACAGTGCAGATAATTCATCAAAAGACAATTTGATCCTCACAATGAATGGCAAACGTGGATGGTTAATTTGGCAAAGTCAAATCTATGGAGAACTGTTTAGTTATTGAAGTAGAATGGCACTGCATTTCCATTCCTAAGTAAACAAGCTTCAGGCAAGGAACTTGTAACTTGATTTCCTTTTTAGTTCTATGAGTCTAGGATTTACAAGACAGTAAGGCAACAGCCCTAAGTGCTGAAGCCCTTTTATATAACAACGAAATAGTTATCACACAGGCAGTGGCTCCACTGCCAGCTCTTCTGTATCTCACTGCCTGTGCCCAGCACTTCAGAAGAATGTTCTATAGCCTAATGGCATTTCTCTGAAAAAGCATGGTTAATTTAAAATGTGGTGATGGTTTCAGTGCACTGAGATCTGCTTATTAACTATTCTACACGGAAGCACAGTTATTTGAAAGAAGCTGAAGAAAACTCATCAGGTAACAACTTTCAGTTACTTCTGGACTGGGGTTAAATTCATATTAGTTAAATAAATATGAAAGGGGGAAAAAAAAGGCACCATGTTCTCTCTGCTTTGAGTCTTTAACAGTGTCCAATT